ATTAACCCAGCACATTTTGTGTATTTTGAAGTGAATGGGTAAATATGTACACTATTTTCACCGTCTGCCTTTCGGCTGCTGGCCTATTCGAAACCTTTACATAGACGCGTTTGATCTTGCTTTTCAGTGTCACATCGGAAGAACAGTATCCGTTTAAATATTGCCTGGTTCCCATGCGTTTACACAGTTCTCAATGCTGATTCTTACGACGCACTCTTTAAAGTAACTTCATTCGTCGTGCAATCTGAGGTTGTGTACGTTTTTGCGAGGGACGGGCGATTTGCTCCTCATTCCTTTGTTTAACGTACATATGGACAGGCGCTTTAGTCGAAGCGTTTTTAGTCCCCTGGGGCCGAATATATCGAAAATTTAATAATCAGTGAATCTTGTTACTCCCAAGGGATCAAGTCTAGAAGGTGCTGATTTCCATCCAGATAAATTCCAATCGTACACCTTTAAAATCGTGTAATTTTCGGGCCTTGTTAGCTGCTCTTCGTTTGCTCATTCCCGATGCGGATGCAAGGCTTCAGTTTTTCATTCAAGATAAACTTATTCCTCTTTTGTTTACATCATATTTGTTGGCGTTTGCCGTTGTTCCAAATGAAGTTTTGTACACTTTCGGTTAGGGCTGTTTTTGAAACTTACATGCTTCTCTCGCTACTATGGCTTGTTTTTTGCCGAGGCGTTTGCTTCGTCCTTTGCTGTAGTGGTATTGGCAGGGTGGACGTCAACTGTGTAGCCGTATTAATTAAGGAATTATCACTAGCTTGTCAGATTATTCAATAGGAAAGTTGCTAAGTTACTCTGAGTTCCCTCTTTGTTCACTGAAAATCTTACTTGCCTTTTAGGTTTGCGAGCATATACGTGCGACGTTTGCGGCCGAGCATTTACTCGAGGCTACGATTTAAAGCTACATGTCGACTGGGTCCACAAAGGTACGTGCGTTTTTTCCTCACTGGCTGACTGTTTTGTATTTCCCAATGAAAGGTTGCGTTTGCCTACCGCGTGATGCCTGTTTATGCTGTTTTGTTTTCTGAAAAATTCCTATGTCAAGATTAACAAATAAGTTTGGCAAATCATTGTTTTCGTTC